GTCAGGCAATTATGAGTGAAAATGCCATTTTTTTGTTCTGACTCTTGTGCGTGACAGAGATGGAGTAAGAGCCCCATTTTTTTTGGCATCTTATTAATACTGTTCATCTTAAAATGTCCCTCCGGCAATGCCTAATACACAGCTTTGTGAAATTACACCTTTTCTGACATAATTACTTTACAATACAGGCATTTAGAAGATAAAGTTAGCTCAGTGTTTGGTAATACATTTCTCCGCTTTCTGCTTTCATAAACAGAAAGAGGTCCAGCAATTATTTTTTTCAGAATGTACAGCTTTAGTACATGTAGAAATCAAAGTGTACAGATCCGAATACTATAAACAGACAATATAGCACGACAACATAAGCTTTGGGTAACAGAAGTAGAATATCTGATTATTTCAAAGTTCTGTATATGTACTGTACTATATATATTATATATCATACTGTAAGGCTATATTTAAGGTTGTGATTCATCTTGGTTGCGAGACATAAACCTGGAGTCTGCATTTGGTATTTGTATTATATCTCTCTGACTGTGGAAAAGGTTAAAAGAAATCCCATTTGTGAATTCAGATTATTTTTTACTTCAAACTTACACTTCAGCAACAATGCCTTTATCGGCTTTTTTGGCTAGCTGAATATTAGCACCTGAAGATATTTAATACTGAGTTCTACAGATATACAACCTTAAATGCATTTTTGCTTGATGCCGACTTTCACTTTTTGGGGCATCTTCACCCTTACCAATGGCTTGAGCTGCAGTATAGCTGTACCGATCTGATGAGTCCTAGTCAGGGTAAAACCAGCATGAAGCTTGATTATTTTAGAGAATGCTGCAGAAAAATAATAATGGGGCCACCTGTTGTGAATTTTCTTATATATTATTAAAATCTTTTTATACAGCTCTTTCAACCACCACTGAAGTGTAGCACCATGTGGGTGACACATGACCAGCTGCACCAGCTACACCACTGCGAAGCAGATGAGGGGGAGAAAAGAAATTGCTTGACCAAAAGATTGTGCAAGGCAAAAATGGAATTAGGCCATGACACCAGGGTTAACACCCCTACACGTCTGAAAAGCAACGTGGGATCTTAAATGACCAAGTACTCAAGACCTCAATATAACTTCTAATCTGATAGGTGACACCACCTTCATGACATGCTGATGCTTTGGTCTGGAAGCCATTTTCCAGGAGGAAGAGTCCTAACTATTGCATTAGTCCAGCAACACCACTTCCAGCACCTACCTGGTTTCCCTTAGAGGTCTCCCATCCCAGTACTGCCCATACCTAGACTTGGTTGTATGTAGAAACAGGATATAAAGACATGCATTTGTAGTCTACGCATATGAGACTTGTAATGTGAACACAGGGAAAGTACGCCAAAGCTAATTGCAAACAACCCAGCTGGAATAGCAAAGAAGAAGAAATTCAGACAAACAGAAAACCCTTGAGTTTCTTTTCTCATGAGAATGTGTGTCTCCGCTGAAGTGGTCATCATACTGTACTCTTAATTAGCCATGTCCTCCCACCTCGGAGGGTTTTCCATCTCTGGCCTCGATCCAGGGCTGCACGCTCACTCACCTATCTTACACTGTGGCTGCTCCAGAACTGGAAGATCGGATCAGCCTGCAGGTACTCTGGAGTTCTGGCTGGAGAAAGACATCTGAAAACACAACCACTTCAGCAATTTAAAAAAGGAAACGTAGACAACAGAAGGTAAGTAATTTGGAAATCACAAATGTGTTGCCGGCTGATGAGTTTCATAATTACCTTTGGAAAGCAGTCCTATAATTAGGGCCATTCAGTGCTCTGTAGAAAGAAGCAGTGGAGGCTGTATTCCACTGGGAAAGTAGATTATGAGATATAATCCACTTAGGGATGTCAAGCTCCTACACCGGCTAAGGAAGTTAAGATGTCATAAGGTTTTTTTTCTGAAGTACAGCACATGGGTAACAAGACACAATGTCTTGAGATAAAGCCTTAATTATAACCACACACAGGTTATTTTTTAATATGACTCCAATATCTGAAATATGAACTATTACCAAAACAGAGGCAGAAATGGTCTTTGGTTAATGCAACTGCACAACCATCAGCTGCACACCTTCTATTATAATACGGGTTGCATTGTACTCAGAAAACTTGAGCATGCTTCCACTACCTGTAGAATCAGCTCCTCTGGTTAGCATTGTCATTTGCCCAAAACAAACATCTTTGTGGATGATGTAAGGCCAAAAGACCCTCTTTATTTTAATGTTTGTGTTTTATTACGATCTTCAACTATTGTGTTTTTCTTACAATCTTCACCTGCTTTTGTTCAATGAAAAAAGCACATAAAAGCAGACTTTTATGGAGATTTTTTTTAAACAAAAATTATGCACAGAAAGGTTTGCTTTGTTTGGCTTTGTCAGTATGAACACAAAATGTGCCCTTCACCTTCTTTAATAAATTCATCTATTATGTCTAATGAAGTCTCCGATCTGGTTGAAACAGCAACATTGAGAGGAAAAATCGAGTGGAATGAGAAATCATGCAACATATGTAATCTGAAATATCAATGAAACAAAGGCTTACAACTGATACGTTGTCTACAATGTGAACATGCGCACAATAATTCTGTTAAAACACTAAATGCACTAAAATTGAACTCTAAAAGAGGCAAAACACATCTGTATCAAAGAGTGCAAAGCAATCCATCCTTTGGATGAAAAAAGGTCTTTAATCAAATATGAATTAGGAATTTGGCATTTAATCAGCCATGATGAATAGGTAAGTTTTGTGACAGATGGTTCTAAAAAGGTCAATGACAAGTATGGGGGCTGCCGAGCAAAGAACAATCCAGGGAGCTGGAGACTACACTTGTGAAGGCTGCCACCAAAATCCCTTTGATATCAGTGGGCTATAAAAAGGTTGCTCAGATTTTGTCAGACCTGCATCTACAGGAGAGGCTTGTTTTCGTTTAAGTGCTGAGTGATTAAAGGACTTTAATCCACATATCCTGTAGCCTCATTTAAATGCTGTATAAAGTACACAAGCGTTATAAAGTATCTGGTGAGCTCTTCGTCTAAAAAAACGTTAGACAAAAAACAAGCAGTAAACACCAACCTGTGTCAGTCATTATGGACACATTGCTAACATAAGCAGTCGGAACTGTTTTAAGTGGAGCTGACATACCACTAGTTAAAACAAAACAAAATCTTAACGTTTAGGTCCAGACTGCACCTGTCCCTATGCTGAAACAAACTGCATATGAGGTAGCTCATTTTGAAAGGATTTTCTACAATGACTGAAAGGCCCGATTTGATCCCCTCCTCCAAAACAAAAGGACAAGGTATGAAGCAAACCTGCAAGTGAGCAATCCGCTCATGCACTGCAGTGTGATTACACAATCATTAAAACAAAAGCAATTAGGCCATGTCTGGAAAAACGTCCTGCGTGTCAATACAATTCTTATATTCATGCAACGATGCCAACGCCATTTATAATTTCTGCTGCTTTAAATTGTCCATGAATAATTTATTCGTGACATTACATCTTAGCAAAACAATGTTCCAGCTTAGCAATTTTCCCCTTGTCATTACCAACATGGCTTTCATTGATCATACCACAACTATGTTGGCATGATTTGTTTGACACTGCGACATGTTTGAAATATTGATTTAACTCCTATAGTTATCGGCCCCATCAGAGATTCCTGTAGGGCAGCATTATACACAACGAGCAGGCATATTTTTACTAACAGCAATATCCTCGGGTTTCACTGGAAGACATTAAAAATGATTCTAACAGTGCACACTCTGATTTAGTTTCATAATTACAGAAAACCAATTAAACTGAGTAAATTTTTTTGTGTAGAGGGAGGTTTCCTTACAACAGTGAGACACCTTGTTCCGCTCTGACTTCACCTGATGAGGCTTCACATTCATATACGGGTACTGGACAGTTCTTAAAAGGGTATGACAGGTAAGTTCTGTTAGTAACTATACCAAAACATTTCACAAACTGTTACTTTTATTGGAAGTAGGCGCACATTTTCAAATAATCCAACATTGTCCCTCTGTTCTATTGGTTATCACTTTTATGACGGGAAGAATGAGGTTCTTTAATATTGCACCACTTTAAAATTCTGTACGTAAGGGGAGTTCCTATCTCTTCTCCCATTATCCATACACACTACTTTTAGACAGAATTATATGCAGTACCAGGTTTATACTAAAAATGTTCTTAAGTTGTACAGATGGTTCTCTGTGGAGATATAATTGAAAAATGAGAAAAAATCAACTTTGTATACAGCAGTGTGTCATGTTTTTAATGTGATCATTATAGAGAGTACAATATAAAAATGCAGTAAATATTTTAATAAATTCAATTTCTCCATCCGTATTGGATATAAGGCATAAAAGAAAAAAAAAATCATTCATCAAAAATTCAAATAAAATATTATTTAATTAATACAACTTTAAAAGTAAAAAGTAAACATGCAGGAAAAAAAATCAATTTATATAGTATTCCGACCTCTTGAGAAATAAATACAATAGTATACCCAATACCAAATAGTATCTTTAGGGTGTGTACTTCACCTGAAAGCCCAACAAAGAAGTAGAATATAAGAATGAATTACCCAGGGCTTACTTTGATTAAGGGAAGGCGTGTCACTACATAACAAGCTGAAAGTTATAAGAAATGATCTTATTCCACTCAAAGTTTTCAAACAACCACAACGGTACTGAGGCAAAATATGTTAAAATAGATGTATGATTAGTTATTAGAAACACAAAGGCTTTATCTTAAAATCTATAATGGCAGAGTCGGTCAGGTATTCTTCACTTTCAGACTACTGCTTTGGAATCCTGACACATTGCTCCTGAATTATCTGGGATTGTTCTATGCAAAAAGGACCGACCTGTCCACAACTTTACTATTTTTTATTATATGATGTGAATTCAATAAAACTGGATGGGAGTGACGATGTCAAAAAATGAAATACAATACCTGCAGATTTAGGCACTGTTTTATCTCCATTAAAATGACAACTTTATTTCACAAGACTTAAAAAAATGATTGGATTACAACATCTGGGTATTAACAGCAATTCATAAAGAAAAGACTACCTGACAGAATGTCTACACAATAAAAAATGATGACCTACAGTAACTGCAAGACTACTTACTCGTGTCATTAAACTTTTAATATTTTCTGTTAAAGCACTGAATAGTATTTCTACTTGCACACCTAAAAAATAAAAAAGAAAGTATTGGATCTCTGGCTATTGCTCAAATTTTCAAAACAACTTAAAAAATAAATTTAAGAGAATTGATCATAATCCCTTTTAATACCCAAATCGCATATTCTTGAGAAAGAGAACTCGAGGTCTTGCAGAAGAAACCTTGACATTAATTACTTTCCGTGGAGCCTGCAGGCCCAGCTGTGTCCTCCTCGCTGTCCGTGGATTCGGAGTACGAGTCTATGCTTTTGTAAATGAAATTATAGAGACTCATGTCAGGTCGTAGGGTTTCACAGTTTTTACACACAGTGTTGTAGTACTGTTCAAGAAGTCCGTATATAGTCCCTGTTTAAGGAAAAAATAATACATCAGTCTATTACACATAAAGCTGAAAAAAGATTCTTTAAAACTGTATTTTCAATTTCACTTCATAAAGAAGGTGTCACTGTGGAAGTTATGAGTGGTTTCAAATTGCAGTGTTTTGTTAATTGCAAGAGTGTGGAAAGGAGTTAAATGAAAATTAAAATAAGAAATAAAGCAATCTAAATACCATGGGGCTAGAAAGAGGACTGATTAAATCTAATAAGAGAGGATAACTTTGCATATGAATAGATTCTTTTTTTCACAGTAAATTATACAGGTCTGGGGCAGTTTACGGCCCCCCAGAGATAACTCTAGCTTGGAATCTCACAGCCTGTGTGAAATATGGACAGAACGGAGAAAAGAAATTTGGAAATACAAGGTTCACTGCAGGCACCTATTAATTATCTGTCTCTTATTTTACATGCCACAGTATTCGTAGCCACAATTAATCTTCTTTCAATCTACACAAGGTGAAGTCCAACAGTCATGGTTTACACTGAGTACAGGAATATGTCTAAGGTTTACATTTCAGTACTGTGGGTGAGATCCTTTTTTCCCTTAACTGTCCTACTTTAAAGCAGTTGTACAGAATCAAAAGACTCAAGAATTAATCGATTTTGAAAAGCAACTGTTACCTAAAATTAGATTAAAAATATGCATATTTAAACTTTATTTTTTCTTTAAGACTCAAGAAGATAATACTGGAATGAGGGACTGTTTAAATCAATCAAAAATGTAAGGTGGGGGTGAAGAAACGATCAATGAACAATTTAAAACAGTACCTGTCAAATTTTTGGTTATTCATTGTATTGTTGATTATTAATTGACTATTATGTATTATTATTATTATTGATTATTTTTATTTTTGAGATCCACAGTTTCCCAAGAAGCTTTGTTTGTGTGTGTGTGTTGCTAAATTCAATGGAAACATGACTTGGTTGAAAAGTCTTCTTACCAACACTTATGTTTCTCTGCGTCAGGAAGGCGTGCAGGTTGTAGGCGTCCCTCATGAGCTCCTTGTCCCCAAAAGTGAAGTATGCCACATCTCTCCCCGTCTCTGCAGCTGCCATCATCTGCAGCAGAGCTGAGACCAAACCCACATCCCATCAGCTGGTTTGTGTATTATGTTAAAATAAGAGGGTATTCGGGAAAGACTTTGAGACTTGCTCCATTTTTGTTTATTTTATTGAGTTAAACCAGTCAGCATTGACACTAGAAAAGTGAGGAAACTGCTCAAGGTACAGAGCACACAAACTGCCTTCAAGCTTTCTCTCCGTGTGCAGAAACGACCTTCTGCTCATACTGCTCCTCTCCTTCCACCCTTTTGTCTTACAAAAAACATTTAGATATTACCACAGCAAATGTCAAGATTTTAAGAATTTGGTCTAAAGGGCCAAATTTCCACAGAAAAAAATACCAAGTTAAACAGCTACTTTAAAATTAATGCGGACCAAAAAACATTGGATTAGATTATATTTCCTGGATTTTAATTTCAGAGAAATTAATCCCAACATGTTCATTGAATAGCATAAATAAAGGCTAATCACTGTGCAAATAGATGCTTTGCTTTTATTTACTGTGAAAACTGAAATTGATTATCTCGATTTATATTTTTCCAGTGTAAGGTAAACAAAGTATTTTACATCTGTGTTTTTCTTCCTTTTATATACTGTACATGCATATTAGATATGCAAGAAAACACATAAATATGAATCTCCCTCAGATTTAGTTGTAGAATATACAGTCTAATTTGTGTTTAAAGGGTAAATAATACAACAGTAGGTTTTCCCAGAAGAACTCCATCTTAGTCAAAAAGTAGAAAATTAAGGCATGGGCTCTAGATTTTAAATATTTAAAGAGGTTTGCACAGACTGCAGATTAATGAAGACTACAACATAAAAAGCTTAACAAGTTCTCTGAATAACCACATGCCCATGAAGTAGAATAATTTCAGAAGCTTTCTCCTGCATTCCTACTAAATATTCAGTCCTACTTTACCTCACTATCACTATTACTATTTTACTATTACCTCAAAGTAATTTCAGCCTATGAACAACATACATATTTTAAGATAGTAATAAAAACACATCTCATTCAGAAGCTATCTCAACATGATACAATAAAAAGAGGATTTCACAGTCAGATGGCTAAACAGCCAGCAAACCAACCAGATCTGATACCATCTTGAGTATAATTAATTCTTATCTGCAACATACTTAGAATCATACAAATCAAGATGCTAGATATTTATGTCTCCAAAATGTGGTTTAAAATTAATAAAAAAGAACCACGAGAATTATAAGAAATTAAACATCTAAAAAGCTTAAGTTTTAAATATCAGCCTAAACATCTTCAGATTCATTTTCTGTATTAAACATTAATGCCTTCTTTTCAGGAAGTGTCAAGTGTTTCTCTGGATTGCCAAAACCCAGCCAATCGAAAGTGATCCAAGACACTGACATATTCTTACATTGGATTGATGTACTGGACCCAGCAATCAATTCCACTTTTAATGGAAAACATAAAAGTTTGTCGGCTGATCAATAGCTGGAGAGTAGACAAATAGGTTTTAAGTAAATGAGTGTATTCGAAGTAAGACTAATGAGACCATGTCCTTACTACTCTATTGAGGTTTGTGTTTTCGATTTCTCTCCTACATAAAAAGACCATGGGTTCATGTTCACAAGCTGTTTTCATAGCACACATATGGCAGTGAGCTTCACTTGTTTTCATCTTAGCTTCACACCAAAGGTACTACTCCACAGGAGTTAATGTATATTTGCTTCCAGTATGTCACTACATACAACCGGAAAATCGATCATTTACAAACACCAATAAGACCATGAATGTATAAATGTAAACAATACATGTTTCTATTTATTAGATTCTACTTCTAAAGCAAACTATAGAAAGTTGACCTAAGTTTACATTTCTGACAGCAAAAAAACACTGCAGACTTTTGCAATTAGAATATAATTACTGGAGTCCTGGTTAGCCATGATCAAATATCTGTTGCTGAATGACTCAGCATTATATGAAGAAGGCAGTAATTAAGAACAGTGTATTTCAAGAAGAGAAATTTAACCAGATTTTTGACAATCATTTCCATCACTTGAATTGAACTGAAAGAAAAACCCTTAGAAGGTTTAGAGTTTTTTTTTTCAATAAACAGCTACTGCTCGTTCTTTAGAAATTCTAATTAAAAAAGGAATGAGAAAAATATAGTAACTATTTATAATGAATACATTACTGAATCCATCAAGATTCGAGAAACAATATTATTTTTGTTGAAGTTTTCCAAGTTTTACTATGACAAAATCATCACCTTTTAGTCTAGTGTCCCCGCCAAAGGCTCCACAGCCCCAGTTTCCAGTGGCTACAGCAGAAAGGTTCTGGCTCTTAACCCCAGGGCGCACAAAGCCACAATAGGCCTGAAACAATATCAAATAGAAAAAAAGATATATGAATTTATACAGAAAATGCAAACACTCACACACAACATTTCCAATTGTTATGGTATCAATTACAACAGAAAAACAATTAGATATACTTATCTGAATATATGCACACCATTCACAGACTGCCACACATTTCCCATGTCAAGGTATAAGGAATACCCCTTACATGTGAATGTTATTATCCACAGAGGTCTGAACACGCTCAGAAAATCCAGTTGAGATTAATGACAGAACCATGAACAAAGACAGCTCACTTCAACTTTTTAAATCAAAACTTGTGGAAAAAAACAGGCTTTCAGCTCTACAGACTGATGGTTCTTTCGTACTTCTCTCACGTAATGAAAATTGAAATGGTTAAGACAGCAATCTTTCTGTCAATGTTCAGACTAATCAAATATATTTGAAAAATACCCTGAAAAGTCTTGTACCCGTAAGTATCAACATCCCATTCTCTGATAAACATCATATGCAGTCTTATTTGCCTCAAGGCACTGCTTATTGTAGTAATATTTCACTACAATATACTGTAACTACTTTGCAATGATTAAGCCTGTGGATATGAAAGACAAAAGATAAAGAATTCAGCAACCTACAGCTGTTCTAGTACATATTCTGAATCAAATGTATTGACCAGACATTGCCCACATAGCTAGCAACCCTATATGTAAACTCACATCTTTTAAACTGTCATCAGGTCATAAATAAAAAAAAAACACATAAGCTATCTGAATTCACATCTCAATATTTGCAAATCTTTGTAACCTAAAGAATGGGTAAAATAATTTGTATATTCTGTAGCAGCACCAATTAGTTTCCCAATGTTCTATAACAGAAGGGAATAATTAAAACAAAACCGTATCACAATTTCCAGATAGAGAATTCTTTGTGCACAGTGAATATTAAAGGCCGATATCCCCCTTCCTCTGGCATATTATAAGCTATATTTAAAGGGCAGATGTGACAGTAAGCTATAGAATCTTTCCAGTATGCCTTTTGAACACGTCTCACATACCTGTCAATCTCTTTAAAAAAATCCTGCTTTCTGAGCCCAGACATCACAGTTGTTTTACTTTGTTATTTGAGTTCTCATTAGCAACTCAGCTCAACATTGTTGAAAAATTAAAGAAAAGTGTGTCACCAAGGCTAAGACAGGTTTGCATAAGGACTACAAGTATCACAGTGCCTGTCCTATCAAAGGCATGTCAGTTTAGTAACGGACAACACCAAAGAAAAAAGGCCCTTAATAATTTTGAAGTCTTAAATCTGCACTAGGATTTCAATGATGTTTTGAGAAGTACGATGCACTAATGTTTGAAATCTATCAGCAACAACATATGGCGGTTGCACTTTCTAATTAGGCAATAAAACAATAATTATTTTACAATTAAGGCATTCAGGGCATGCTCAAGTAATATAATAGTTCACAGCCTTACACTGCACCTCCTGTATATAGTTAAATTTTCTTCTGACTTCTAGAAGTTGCATGTGGATAATAAAACGTTTTGGGATTATAACCAAGCATAGAAAAAAATTAAATTATGTGAAGACCAGACTCTGCAGTTCCTTCTCATACAGCAAGACCCATTAGGCACAAACCAAGTGTACATATTTAGGATCTGAATAAATACTGTACACAGCTAACCCATTTACAGTAATTCTCTCAAATTAGCCTGTGTAGCTCAATGGGCTTGGTTAGCAATTTGTTTATTTAAAGCAAGAAAAACATATTAGTCATATTTAGGTAACATTAGGCAGGATTTCTTTGATAATTTTATAAGACTGAATATAATGGCTCAACACAAAGGCAATTAAAATTTGTATAAGCATACTTTTTACTCAAATGCCAATTAAATTTCTCAGTGGTGCATAAAATCATTTGAGTATTACAACTAAAGAGAATTTCATCTATGATACATCAAAGCAAGACATCAAAGAATCGGGAGGAATTTTATTGCTAAATAACCTTGCTAAACTGACAACTGTACCTACTGAAATAAAAACTCACAAAGCTAATCTTCAGTTAATGACTGGGAACATATGAAAAGCAAAGAAACAAGAAAAGGTAAAATTCTGAATTAATTTCAGATAAAATAAAAATTCAGTTATAATGCATTTACATAGTAATCCAAAAGAAACAATGTGATAACTCATTTTAAGTCCTAATAATTCAAAATAATATTATAATATGATGTACAATACGTAATACCGAGTCAACAAACAATAAGACACATCAATGACAAATAAGTGACTCCCAAATCTTAACATAGTAAAAGACTCGCCACTGTGAAAGTTAAAACAATGTACATTCTGTGATATACAAAAGAGACAGTATCATCCAAACCATGGTGGAATTTGGTCAAATGCCAAATTAATATCTAGGCAGCATTGTATCTAAGCATAACCTTCTAATAATCCTACAAATGTAAATGTACAGCACATTTTTCTCCTGTCACAAACACTGTTTTCACTTAATGAAAAATTCAATTAATATCAATGGAGATAAAAGCTGAAGTATGTCTGTTACCATGTATTGCATGCCACCAATCAAGAAGAAACTAAATTCATTGGTCTCGGAGCTAAAAGACATATGGATGATAGTTGTAAAAAAGAAAATTGTGGTCTCAGAAGCTATTGTGAATACACAGCAAATATTAGTATGTCATTCCTATATGTCTAATGAGAAATGTTGGTACCTGTTGGTAGTACTTATTAAGTAAAATACAGATAAAGGTTTCTGATCCAGTTTAAAGGATGGGGAAGAGTAATTTTGACAGAAAGGATGTGGGTGCTGAATGACAAATTATTAGGAATTTACTGGACTGAACTCCACCACATACATAATCTACATAGTAAATAAATGTCTTCTGTAGGAAGAAGTGCATCTTGTGTGCATATTCTAAAAACTGAATTGAAATTGAAACCTACAGTAGGTACAGTAGCTTCATTGACCTAACACTGAGTCATCTTTTCCATTTACTTAATCTAAGTATTGCTTAATAACATACAAAAAGTCTTGCCTCAGCACTCAGCAGTACAGCGATAACCCAATCATTGCAATGCATAACTTGGCAAGCAAAATCACAGCTTCTTTGACTGACTACTTTATTTGCTAGTGGATGGTAGCCGATTTAGTTTCTCAGGCAGCTGTCACGAACATGCATGACCTCTGTGACATGTATACTGAAAATCCATTCTCATGCCTGCTCCACCGCTGCTACATGAATATGAAGTCAGGGAATTTGGAGGAAAAAGGATCAGATACCTCTAACATCACAATTTTATCCTGTTACACCTTCCAACAGTCTACGATATATGTTCTTTTTCGTTCTATTCTATATGGATAAAAACATCTTATTAGTTAATGGTGTGTTTAATACACATTGAAGAAATAAGGTATTCAGATTATGACTGCAACCTTTCATTTCATTTTTTATTTGATTCCATCCATTATCCAGTTCAGTCATGGCAGCCCGGAGCCTATCCCGGGAAGCACTGGGCGCAAGGCAGGATACACCCTGAGCAGGGCGCCAGTGCATCACAGGGCACACACAGACACACGCTCACACCAGGGCCAGTTTCCCCAGAAGACAATTAACCTGCCAGTATGTTTTTGGAATGTGGGAGGACACCAAAGCACCCAGAGGAAACCCAGGGAGAACATATAAACTCCGAGCAGAAAGAACCCCAGGGCTCCAGTGTCCCAGAGGCAGCAATGCTCACCACTGTGCCATTTGCCACTCTATTTTCAATGAAGTGTTCATTTTACCAAAGGACAGCATATTTTCAGATAGCAGTAATCAACCAGAAACACATAAAGATCATTTAACAACAATAAAACATGGAAATGTATCCATTTATGTAGGATTATTACAGTGAATCCATAATGTATTCCATAAACAAGATATATACCTATAATGAAACCAAGTGTATTTTAAAAGACCAGGGGCATTTAACAGTAATGACATCAGTAGTGACATACTGTTAAGGAATTTGGTCTAATGTTGAGCCATAAGAAAAATTTACATTTTTATTAAATTTCACTGCAATCATAGATTACCATAATATTCCACAATATAATTTAAAATGTCTTTTTCTCTGTATGAACATTCTCCTTACTTGGGTACTTACTCGAATACTCTGAAATCCACTCAAGATATTTAAAAGTTTTCAATTCACCAGGCTAATGAATTGGCTCAAAAGAGTACATGAACTAGATTTTACATTTTAACACGCATATAGAACAGCTCAACCAATTACAGGACAATATTATAAGGGTCCAAACAATGTGCAACAAATAAAACATGTTCTGCAGATTAACCTGCATGAAGAATTCACTCACCTTATTGAGATCTCTTCTAATTTTTTCTGGGCTGAACTGCTCAAGAGTTTGTTTGTACTTCCAGGCATCAATAGCTACGATCTCTGTACATCTCCTTTGCCACTCATCTCTAAATAACAATATCCAGATAAAAATATTACATTTAGACACATTTTACATTGATTTAGCTAATGGTGACTTCATTTCTGATACATTTAATGTGATTAGACAACATTATTTTGTTTTAATCAATGATATAAAATCAGGGTTAAGATTTCCTTAGTATTTAAAATAGTACGACAGTGTATATTAAATTCAGCATAAACTTTACTGTTGCACAATTATCAATATTGTTAAGAAACCAACAAGGGAAACAAGGTTTAAATATTGTAAAAACAAAGTGAAACTCCTTTAAGAAGAAGGACATAAATATTTCAATACAGCCACATCTTTCACACAACAAGATGTGAAGATGAATGCAGAATCTATCTAGCAATGTCAAGAGAAGTGCAAATGACTGGAGGTGAAATACTGATTTTACGCCTCAGTGCTGAAAAAATTTAAAGATTTCAAATTAGTTTAATCTAGAAACCTCACTGTCACAGCGCATTTTACTATTCATTGTACCTTCCTGAGTGCTCTTGAACTCTGGAGTCAAACTGGCCCAGACAGTTTTAAGAAAAAAGAATACTAAGCCTAACTGCAGGCTCTTCAAGTGCTTCGGTGTCAAACTAAGTTTTCTCAGTATTTTCTATCGAAAGGATTGGACTAGATTAGATGTACAGCCTTGTGGAAAACATTGAAATTTTCTTGTTCATATACAGTACCAAAGGAATAAAAACCTGAACTGAACTATTCTTTGAGGCATCTTATGTAAACATAATTGTGAAAATGCAAAATTGAATACTTTTAAAACTTAAATTTACTGCAATACTGAACATTTTCATACATACATATGAGGCAGATATTGCATGAATATAGTTCAACGTTTAACACACTCACAAATAAGCACTACCCGGTAACAGAGTAATGGTTTATACCTCTTTAGCCCATTAGAGGGAATTATGAAGCTTAATTGTGATCATTTCCTTATGTTGAGACTCAGAAACATACCTTGGTATCTCATCTGTGTGACTTCCGGCCCACCTGTATGTCTCTGCATATCCACTGTAATCACTGTACTGCTCAGCACCTGCAGGACAAGGCTCATCTTAAAAACATTCTGCTTACAATTCACAAACGAAATGTTTGCAATACTTCTCGTCTATGTCTGATGTGAATCCCATGCATTTTGCAGACCTTGCAACAGAAAAAGTCAAAAATAATGGTACTGATGAATAGCTATTAAGATCAGATCACTTTATTGGCCATTTACAGTTCCTTGTAAAAGGAATTTGTCTTTTCCCATACCCCAACTTGTTCTCCATGAGACACACAGACAGGGAGAGAAGCTTGGGGTCAGAGCGCAGGGTCAGCCATTTATATGGTGCCCCTGGAGCAGTTGGGGTTAAGGCTCTTGCTCATGGGCCCAACGGAGTAGGATTCCTCTGCTGGCCACAGGATACGAATCGGCAGCCTTCCAGCCACAGGCGCAGATTCTGAGTCACAGAGCCACTGCTCCACACTATATTTCAGTCTAGGTTATTTTATTAGGAAAATAACCTAGACTGAAATATACTGCATCTTAACAGGGACACAAAGAAGAACATGCTAAACATAGGTTTAAATAAACCTTCTACCACTCCATTCTTTTTTTCCCACCACTGTTATTTCTCAAATTTCACTTTTAAAAGTTTGTTTTTCTACAGACTGTTAGATGTGTTATTATTGAGGCATGTATGTTCTATGTGGGGCATTTCTTCCTTTATTGGTCTTGGAGGTTTCAGTTACTTCAGATTATCAAATCACTGCTAATCACAGAGGATTAGATATAAAATGATACCTTGATATGGGAAATTTAATACCCATGATGCCTTAGTACACATGACACAATTAATTTAAAATAAGTTGACACACTCGGGCAATAATGAAAGTGGTACGAAATCCAAAATTTGAAAGTATGAAACAATAGTTATTTTTTAAAATAGGTATGTATAAAACAAGGCAGAAAAAGAGAAACAAAATATATATGCATAAAACAAGGCAGAAAAAGAGAAACAAAATTACCTAAAATCCACTCAAGTAATAAGCTAACTGTGATTTTAATAAGACAGCCTCTGAGTAATTATTAAATGTGAAGTGATGTCTTTAGATAGGCTGCATCCCCACAGAGGAAGGTCAAGCTATTACCTACCCTGGAGACTTGTGGGAGAAGGCAGCAGTCAGCTCTGAGAAAAGTGCACATGCAAAGAACAGGAGCGCATTCGAACAACAAGGGCGCAAATTAACTTCCCATTCATTAGACCTCATTAGTAGCTATGTCGCCCTCTCTGCGGTGCATGAATAAATAATTTGATTAATAGCAGGATTGTGCTGTTGGTCAGTTCACAGGGGTTCTAATGCAGGGGCAAATTGATGTGTGAATCTGTTTTGAAACTGAGTGACATAAAATAATCACCTTGCTTTTAACAATGAATATTGGCCTTTAGCTAAAAGTCGGATCATCAGCTTGCTATTGCCCCTGAGGAGTGACAAATTAACTGCAAGAAAATTACTGTGAAGATAGAGTCCCGTTCCACAGTTGAATTCTTGCGACTATACCTTGTAAACAAGTAATGTGTAATTTACCATATGGTCACCACGAATGACCGTTCACATGGAAGGACACAGGATTATCTCTTGCTGCTGCAGACCAAATTATATTACTGTATAGTATTAGATACTATAGTAAGCAACACAGAAGACAGCCTTTTTACATGAACAACACAAAAAGTCTCTTCTAGCAGACACCATCATTTATAGTTTATCAGCATGAAAATGTATCTGACAAGGAAAGCTTCTTGAGCACACCAAACTAGTGTTTTACATCCTTCGACATTTACGGTTTCACATTTTCTCAAATTCTCTGTGTGGAACAGCAAAGCTATTGCCAGTCTTGTTTATGTTTGGTAGCCACTCATAACTTTCTCCCAGAAGAACAAATATATCTGTTTTGAGGTCTTTGATAATTTAATCAAAGCATTCCAACAATACAATCCTTTTTGCTAACTTCAAAATCACTCAACTGCTTATAGTATACTCCACGTCCATCAAATAATGGCTTTAGCCATGCATAAAAAGAAGTGTGAAAGGCAATGTTTGCAAGCAGACTGATATCAAATGGACCTTTTGTTTATTGACAGGTCAGAGAGATAGCACTTTCAAGTATATAAAGAGGTGAAAGTATCAACCATTGAAGAGTAAACATTTGGAATTCTAATTTATTGGTGAGCTTGAGGTATCTCTATGAAATGGTGACAACGGCAGAAAAGAGAATTGGGATAAATGGCAGAGCTCCCTGGGGTACCTTATGAAGGATTCAGAGAAAATCTGTCCTTACTAGAGGAAGACACTGAAGAATGAAAAACAAAGCTAGATAGATAGAAAATGAAAAAAAACACACACACACTCATCTCCTCTATATCTAGCTGTGTCCCACTATCAAGTCAATACACCATACTGTACCATTACATGAATTAAACGGACCTCCTGTAAACCCTAAAATCTAATTTTGCAAGCTCCACTCACAGCATCATATTGGGTTGTTTCATAGGCCACTTAAATAAGACGCACTGTTTACGTGATTTTACACCTACTTAAAAAGCACTAAATATCTACTATCACTTCTTTGGTAGATAAAGCTAAAATAACAGTTTTTTCAAAGCCAAATATTTATACTCTGGGAGTAAATATTGTATAACAATAGATATATCAATCCTGAACACATTATCCCAGAAAAATATTTTACAGTGATCATATGATATAAGTACATCCCATAAAATAACCCAAAAAGGCATTACAATTTAACAGAAATGAACAATGTGTCTATGGTATAAGTGCTTTTGACTACCAACGACTTCTGACATTTATGTCAAACTTCCTGGGTCAGGATCGCCATCAGTGAAATCATCTGCCTTCCCATGATCCAATTTATATTTATGACTGCCCTGATGGCAGCCAGACAGAGAGCAATCAAGAGAAATTAAATTAAGTCCTTTCCAAATGCCCGGGCACTTCTGCAAATTTCAGTAGTGCGGTATGATCCATTAGGCCTTATGTCAAGATGCATCACAAGGGAATGTAATTTACCAGGCAGCAATGATACAATGGAGACCAGGATAAAAATGGAGATGACAACGAATATTACGTTGTTTTAATAAAGATGATGGAATAGCTTAGTCCATTAGTGGACCAGGTCTTCCTACTGTTATTAATTCTGCACGGCTGTAATAAAGTTAAGTGGAACAAGAGGAGGAGAAATGGCTGAGTAAGAGCTGAAGGTGACTCCACTGAGAGAACTGCCACAACATAGGGGTTAGAATACTGATTAGACGGCATGCTGAGCCTTACAGCATCAAGACTGACAGTGTTTATTACACATTTACTCGTGATTTTCTGTAGCTGACAAAATACAGTAGTGCAATATTACAACGGCTGCTGGTTCAAATTGGGGTGAAGCACTACAGCTATTAATTACACTGCTTTGAGACTATTGTAAGCTGAAGTCATAAATGTTGGAAACTGTTGCTGTGCACTAGATGGCTCTGAACATCCAGCAGTGAACACAACTACTTAGTTACTTGTAAAACATTAGAAACCACTGCATGGCTTAAAGCAACTTCTGTGCTTCCAAAATTAATGGAAACACACAACACTGGGTACAGCAGCATGTTTCTGTATGTAACTTCTATCTCCTTATTAATAATTTAAAGTACAATGGGAATATACCGTAGAATACTAGCACTATGTGAGACATTCATCTCCTTATATGAAGTAAGAATTATACATTAGGAAGCATACAGTGCGTGGAATAAGACAATGTAAAATAACAAATTTGTTTATTTAAACTATTTTGGAACTCCTACAGAAAACATGCTTTAATAAAGGGAAAAGTAAAACACTAAAACAGCCCATTGTGGAAATTTACTGATTTTCTCAAGAAAATAAAATATAAAAACAGTGGATCCCATCTAAAAACCACAAAATAGTCAATCATTTATCTATCAATAGTCCATTTCAGCAATGACTTTCAGAGCTGACTTTGAGCTAGCCACTCTTGAGTGTATGTGTGTAGGAGGCTGGTGGAGAGGACAGTTAATGAAAGAGAGCTTTCAAAGCAGATTCAGTGTAGGCAGCTAGTCAGCCCTTCACCTTCTTCACTCCACCTGGTCCCATCATTTTTCTCCGAGTGCTCTTTCAAAGGGCAAATCTGTGCTGTATACAAGATGGGTACACAATTACCTAATACAACCTGGTTTGCAGTAAATGTGGCTATTATTTTATTAAATCAGTCACGCAATTTTTTTGCACATTTTCAGAAACCATACACTTTAAAATAAGACACAAAACAAACTAAGCTCTATTTTAGTTCAATTACAAGTAGTCAGATAGAAGGTGATTAAAAAGAGCAATTTGAGCTCAAGCAGCAAATAAAATGTGTTCCTTTTACAGGAAAATGCAATAGTTTTTTTAAAAAGCCTGCTGACAGAATGTTGGCTGGTCTCTCCGTGCAATGCTAGTTAGTCTTTCCAGATTAAAAGAAAAAAATATTAACCGCCATGAACAAATCTTCTTTGTATTTTATTGACAGCCAAATAAGTGAGATAAGCAATTCTGATTTCAGCTCAATGCTTCTTTTGGTGAATTAAGTTTAACTGGTTTAACTGAAGGGCTAGTGGCTTCAATCATCATGGTGATCACCAGGCTTACTACAGCACTAATGTGTCCATGTGTAATGTGTCCATTTTCAAATCATTAATTTTTTTTTAAACCAAAAGCACACTGCCATCATAGACCGCAACGAAACTGCCTTTGTCTGATTAACTACTATAGTAGTATGATTCAGAAATTTAAGTAGTTCCTCCAGTAGATTGTATACTATAATATGGCAAATATAATATATATATATAAAATATATAAATATTATAACCTGAATTAATTTTTCACAGAATGAAACCCTCCAAAATGAACAATCTCATAAGTGAAAATAAATCTTTGCAGACTGCATGAACACCACTAGTCTAATGATTCTGCGCCAAGCAAATAGCTTCCTTCAATCTAAGACATAAATAAGCTCTTTTCCTTCTAATTTTTAGATTACATTTTTTATCATCTTGGATTCGGAAAGTGGCGCAATTTTGTGTTGCAAAAATAAGAGGCTGGAGGGCAAAGTGGTAGAAAAAGGAATGAAATGACAACGCACCGGGCAGGTTATGTATGGATAACATTTATGAGTAAATCATGAGGCTAGCTCCCTAATGCAAAAAGAGGTCCACTCAAGGTGTCTGAGTTGTGAGTGGCAGACAATCAAGTTGAACTCAGGAGAAATGTAACAGCAACAGTAACCCCAAATGGCCAGTCACTGCTGCTGCCCATAAGGTTACCAAGCATTCTTCCTGGTGTGTTTTACCTGAGGAGTGCTGGGTGGTAGAAATGTAGTGGGTCATGCTTTAAATACATTATCAAGGAAGTAATACTAAGTATATGGACAACATACTCAGTCAGTTGTTATACTACTCCTAGAAATAAAACAACGCAAAAGTTCAAAACTCTTAGGTGGTAAAACATTTCTATACCATAAATAAACTTGCTTTATATGATCTATTGGATCAGATTTATGTAAAATGAAGTATGCATCTTCAGCCTAGGAGGAGGTTGCCTACATCCTCAAGGGAGCTCTACATAATGAAGAGTACATCCAGACCCCACCAGACGGGTTAAAGATGTCAGCAGCATCCGACAGCAGTGAAAGTTAGGTCTAATCAGTGTTTCTAATTCAAAATGTCTTGGGGCTTTTTTCACAGTCTCACTTTTAGAAAGCCTGTTTACTGTTATTCATGGCTGTAAGTTATTTAACCATTGATTACACCCCAGCCAGAGTAATCAGAGAGAGCAGTTTATAAATGATGTCAATCAGGCTAACAGGGTAAATATTCTGGACGCTATCTGAAAGCAGGCAGGAAGAATACATCCCCTAATAGAAAATGATTGCAACACCGACTGGTTACATTCTTGCTGGGCTTGTTTATGATGGTTTAAAATAGCAGGTCTGCCATTTAAAAGCCTGCTGTGAGAATAAACAGTGTGTCCTGTCGGTGAAGTGAATGTCACCATACCAAAATATCTATATACTGTGCTAAGGACTATTTTGATACTTAATATCTGATACCGCTTGACTGAGTTTATAAAGAGTAAAAAAAATTTTCTTCTCCATAAACTGCATTTACTGAACACTCTGCCCTATCACTCTTTTTTTTTCACTGTTGCTCTCTCTTGTACGTAAAAAATAATCAATTGCCACTTGATAGGCAGGTGTAACTAATGAGACAGGCAGGCCTGTATGCTGTCTATCAAAGAGATGAGCTAACAACAGATAAAAATATTACTGTGGTAGTCAGCATACATAGAATACATGTTTACCCTTTTTTATTCTGTAACATGGAATTCAGCATTCTGGTCATTGTATTGTCTTGTCCTCAGATGGATTAAGTTTTTACAGCTCAACATTGCTTTCATTTTATTTGATAAGAAAAACTGACAGGGAATTGAAATGTGTTGGGGTGAAAATACCACAAACTGGTTGACACCATTTTTGTAAATCCTATATATATATTTTAAAGAATAATAAATAAGTTCTTCAGAGAACAAAGAACTATGATGCAATGTGCAAAAAGCAGGTTTAAAATGCATTCTTCCATTCTATTCTATTTTAGTCTATTATGAAGAGATTCCTGAAAAGACAACTAGCAAACAAAATAAAGTTTCAAATGAGATCCCCTTCATGCCACATTTTTAATGTTCTTGTTTTCTAACACTAAATATGGTTCTTACAAGGAGATCTACAAATGTTATTTGCTGGCTAATTCTGATGACACGAAGATAGACAAGTGCTTCATCAGGAGTGTTGAAAAAGAGAAAAGAGTCCAGCAGGACACTGTGAGAGGGAAGGCAAAGCTGACCTGTAATGATCAGGCACTCATTGTGATCGAGAGCTTCAGTGAAAAGCCGAGAGACAATGAGTTCTGGGTTAATCATAAATCGAATTTCTTCTTGTACCAGACCAGACCCTGTCACACCCCCTCCAACAAACCGGTTTGCAAAGTCCACCTGAAAGAAAGCAGGTAATAGCGTATTAGTACTAACACAAGTAATATAAAACATTAACTTCTGGAAATATATTTTTTACATCACTGAAATTACTGATTTTTGCTGCTCAAAGTACCATTTTTTTTCTAGAGCTCACAATGTTAGCAGACACTTCTGTAACTTTACAAACATTTCAATAGACTTCTGGAATAAGTCTTAGCAAAGTTATCATTTACCAAATTATTTCAAGAAGCAACCTTATTAAGTTTTAACAGGTAAATGATTAGAACCCATGAAAAATGTCACATATCTGCAATTTACATCTAATCCCATCCAATTGTATACGTACTGACGTGATCTGTTTCCAGTCAAGTAAAATACTTGTATTTTTGCCTGTACTATACTGACAGCTGGGAAAAATAATGAACTAATTATTGCATTTCATTATTATATTTCTAAATATATGTCTATAATGAAACATTTTCATTAAATCAATTTGCATCAATCCAAAACTCATACTATTCCACTTGTTTAAAAAAATGAATTCTGCCCTCTGAAGCTTTATGGCAACACTGATGTAATGTTGTAGCAGTAGTACAGTAGCTGTAACATATGGCACAGTACTCCTGGAAGAAACAGAAACTTTAGCATATTTGCTAAAGGGTGGCAATAGCCAATGAAGGGATTTTAAAGCTACTGTCACCACATTATAATTGGTAAATCACCAGGAACTAATGTAAGGACCTGATCCAGAATAAGGCAAATACTGTTTTTCAATAACCCAATATAATTTGTTATGTTTTTCCTATTTTATCTATCTGTTAAGAATTCAAAATGTAATATGAATATTAACAGGCTGTATGCTGCCTTGCGCCCTTTGCTTACCAGAATGGGCTCTGGCCCATCCTGAATTGGTAGAACCGGTTAGAAAGTGGATGGATGGATATGAATATTTACAATACTAAGTTAAAATGAATAACTTTATAGAAGTGCTTTCATTCTACTTGATGCTATACAGTAACATTTCTGAAATACTTGCTAAAGACATTCTAAAACAATCATTTACCAATGTATTGTAGGTTACTTGTACAAAGATAAATAAAACATCTATATTCCGGGCATGGCAAAATATTAGATGTTAAATGTTAATTATTGTATTGAAAATAAATTGTATTTTATATAGTGCCTTTTATTATCATATCAAGACACTTTATAATAATCCAAAAGATACAGACGTTCAGAATAATACATTCAATCAAACAGAATTAAAAGCAAGAGTATAAAAGTGATTTTAAGACAGATTCTGAAACAAGCTGGAAAATCACTTGGATTAACAGAACAGAAAGCATGTTCTCCCAGTATTAGGAACTGATTTGGGAACTGGAAGAAGGCCAGTGTTCAAATGGTAAAATTATGTGCAAATCTATAGGAATTTTCACTAATGTGTGCAACCCCTTAAAAGTTAACCCAAGTATTTTTAATTGTATTCTGAAATCTACAGGGATCCAGTGCAAGGGAGATAAAACAGGTGAATATATGTTCACATATTTTAGTCTTATTTAAGATCTGAGCAGCTTGGTTCTGAAGATGGTACAGCTTCTTAAGAGTGTCTTTCAGTTTTCTAAGAGTTCAGATAGAAAAGGGTTTCTGCATCCATTTTTAGCGTCATCTAAGCAGTGTGACAAGGCAAACAGTGGATGATTAGCAGAATTTTGGGTGTTATCAACATAGAAAGGACAATTAATGACACACCTATGAAAAATCTGACCCAATGGTGACAAACAGACAGTTCAAAATAATTAAATAAATAACAATGTCTGATTTGAACAAACTATTTTTATCAGTGAGATAAGATTTAAATCACACCAAAGCAGTTCCAATAATATCAACAATTCTCCATGATCTATTCAGTGTGAAAGTATGATCAACAGTATCAGTATCAACAGTACTGAGACCCAACAGGACATGGATGGACAGAAAATCAGGAACCCTAGTTCAGTACAGTATAGTAACTGGGACAAGGGCACACATCAGTATATCTGCATCTTTGTGATCATTAAAAATAAAGTGTCTATGTTCAGCATTGTACAGTAGCATGCTATTGCAATGAAACCTCCTCAGAACCCACATGCTCACTGCTTTGTGGAGAATTTTAACTTTGTTTGGCAACTCTACATTTTGTAACTTTTTTTTTTATTTTAGAGAACAAAACAAAACCATTTTACATATGACCAACCATTATTCAGCCTTACATCACAGGCACAAATTCCTGTTTGTTCCCCTAGTTTTTTACAATTATATAACTTTTTAACAAAACTATACACATTCAAAAGAAGGAAGATGTATATATTTATGAATATGAAAAGGGAGGAGACTATATAAATCTTATTAAATTTCAGTTATTTTGTATCTCAACAAAATCTGACCTTAAAGGTTTAATGTACTGAACCCCTCTAGACCAATATTTGACAAATTTTACATTTTGTAACTTCTGAATTATAAAATTCCTACATGTCAGCAATAACTCCAAATGTGAGCGACTTTGGAAAAGCGCTGGTTATGATTATTAGTATTATATTAATAATAACTCCCAATTTTTGCAAACTACCAAAATCACAGCAGGAAGGTCGGTAACAGGTTCCCTCCCTGGGGAAAAGGTGCTTGTAGCTTCAATAATTGAAAACAAGGATTAAATTATACTAACCGTTTCTATTTAAAAGGAAATGTTTCTAGACACTGAAACAGGTAACCAACAGTGAAGAGAAGCAAACATCAAAGCAAAGCAGTTCAATTCAACCAGCAAATGTCAGTCACAATGCTGTCACACCACAGTGATTCCTACTATGCAGGAAAAAAAGGAGCACTGAACAAAAAAACAAACAAAAAACATCGCCAGCAGGCCTTCACAGAACTGTTTTAGTGTTTTGCACTTTTGACAGCTACATTTGTAGTTCCTTCAATCTCACAGATTTGATGGGAAGGAGATGAAGTGCCTGAGGATCACTGTGTTAAGTGCACTGCCCTCGTCTCAAGCCCACCTGTACTCTCCCAGGCAGTGCCTGTACTGCGATGCCTGGGGGAAGGGCTGAAGGGATTATAAGAACAGCTACGACCCACCCCACAACCAGCAGGAAGTGCATTACACACATTTCATAGACGCCATTTTTCGTTAGCCATTTTTTTTCTCTCAGAAAACTGGAAAGTCTTCAAATTTTAAAGCATCCTTTCCCTCCCAGTTTCTCCATGAATGTCCTACCAAGTTGAGTGCTTAGTTCTGGATTTGTGTCTTGATCGGCAGCCAAATCTAACTATTTTGCATGCATGTACACACACAAGCAGACTCTGTTTATGAATGAGTGACAAAACAAAATTATCTTGATCAAGAATTTTGTTGTCCAAACAAGTAATACATTTCGCCCTTAATGAGCCAAGAGCCATATGACTGCAACAAAAGAGGAAAAAAAAACCTTTAGCTATTTACACTATATAAAGTGGCAAGGATCTGGATCTTAGTCTAAATAATACAGTGGAACCCTTTCATATCCTGTTCTCTAGGCTGTCAGTTTTGGCTCATTGGCCTGCCGACTCTTCCTAAACTCGAAAAAAAAAAATACGGCAGCAAGTGGCAGGCTGCCAGCTGATCCGGCTGAACTGGTCACTCAGCTCTGGGGCAACCAGGCGGCATTTCAAGCGGGCTGACAAACTGTCAGCTCATCCCCTGGCACTGGAGCATCCGTCAATCCAGAACTCCATTTCCAGCCCAGAGGGTGCCTCGAGCTGCTCATGTGTACACATCATCTGTCAGATTTTTGTAACAAGAGGAAAACAAAGGTGAAAGGGAAAAAAAAAGGAGTCTGAGGCGGACAGCGGCTGCTCGCTCTGACAGCTAATGCAGCCTGGTGTGCACATACTCTGCATGAAGAACGTGGAGTTGCATTCCCAATAGAGCCTCCTTGCGATCCGACAGCCCATTTTGGAAATCAAATTTCAGCTAAGCACCATTCACAAAATAAAGGGATAGTGTTTTTCAGATAGGCTGCATCTCTAAAACCTGACATGTGTACACCAGGTCACTAATAAACACCTTTGTATTCCCCAATACAAAAACCTTTTTCTTTTTGAATGTGTGAATGTGTGTAGGAACTCTTATACGATTTCCTACAGTAAAAGGAATAAGTTTTATGTATTAAGCTTCACTAAAAACTGTGAATTTGCACATCGATTTTGGACTTCTGAGTTATTCCACACCAGCTACAATATACAGTATGCCCGGGTAAAATGTGGTATGTTAATAACTTTTGCTAGCCTTGATATTGATAGTGCAGTGCTTGTTGTATGAACAGTCCCAACTTGTTTATGATATGTTATGATATTTATATCAATTAATGCAAAGATTGAATCTTAACAATAGATTTGCGTCTTCCACAGAAAGAATGCTTACCTGAAGCATTCCGATGCCTTGATTCTCAATAGTACCTTTACAAGCAATGTGAAGCCTGGTAAGGTGATTTTTTGAACTGAAACAGAAAACATGATTCTTGTAAACAATCAAGTGATGAACAATAATTTCATGTCTTGTATAATTTGTGAATTTTCTTTATACTGAAAATGTAGCTGTAATGTATTTCAGATGAGGCTTTATTGTGGGTTGGTTTAACATAAAACTAAATTAGTCAACCTTTTTCAGCCAACTCAGACATTTTAAAATTATTCCTGAGTGCCTCATTAACAGAGACACAGTCTCAAAACAGAAATACCTGGATGGAAAAAGGCATCTTCAAAAATACATTTGGCCTGCCACTGGTCAGCCTAAAGTAATGTCAGCTCTCAGTGTTTCTTTTACTGGCTGCTTTCAATGTTTTGCCTTCTGAATAACTTTGGTGGTATGCCTTCAAGGCCCCAGATTTCATTCCTTAAGTACTCCCCTATGACAGCGAAATTCACAGTAGTTTCTTAAAGAAAGTAATCTCTTGGAATGCACAGAGCATAATAGCTGCCTGTTCAGATTTCCATCATATACACTACCTGAATAATTCTTGTTTTGGAAAGAGCAAACAAGGCCAAGATGTATAAAAATAAGCTGTCAAAAGATTTTTGGTCCATTTAATTTGATAAATGTAAGATAATTAAAATTGTGGATTTCCATTCTCCAAAGTGATAATCTGAATATATGTATATATTTATATGCTTTTAATTTTGCCAGTGAAATGTTCATACTTTCAGAACATCAATGATAAGCACCTAATCTCTTTTATGAATGTGGATCTCTTTTTTAGAAAAAGCAGTTATCCAAATTATACTGTTACAGTCAATCTAGCAGGCTCACAAATACTAAAAACTGGTATGATGAAACTCAGTAATAATTATATCATTATACAAAGTAAAACAACTTTCATTACCATAATCACTAACAAATAACAGAAGAGCTTTAGAGCTTTGACTAAGGTGGAAAGATTGTGCTAAGCATTTTATTAATTGGTCTCTACATAAAAATATATTTATACTTTGATGAAATTATAGTTTACCTTTCCCATTTTGGAAAATTGGTCACACTTTGTCTCGTGAATGTTACTAGGCCAGCAGGTGCTGAAAAGAGAAATAAGTGCTAAATGAGCATTTAAAGTCTTGGTTTCCTCTGTCAGCTTATATAGAAGCTGCAAGGCAGACATACAGAAATCTAATAGAAGATATAAAAATAGAAGGACAGAAAGTTAGACAGTAAAAGAGTATTTGTCTTTTCTTCAAAAACCGTACATCTCTCTGAAACCTACTTTTTGTTGTGACTCGTCTGAAATAGCACAGTAGAGTCTTGAGCTTTTCAATCTTCTTGCGTGCAGAGCCCTCAAACAACCTAAAAAATATTTTTAAAAATATAAGTTTAATTTAAACGTTTTCAACCTATTTGGGTAAAACACACAATTTTTAAAACGGATTTACAGTTTTAAATTACAAAAAATGTAGACAACAGGAAAGTTCTGAACCCAGGAACCTTCTATTACACTGGGAAATAAAATGTATTGTTCCTCCCACTGCACAGTACTGGTCACAGAGATGTTATTTTCTACAAATATACAAATATATTTATACAAATATATCTAGATGCTTTGTTTTTAAAGAAGAAATGCAAATATCGTCTTAAAAAGATCTGTACTTTTTTTGGTACTGTGTACGTGTCCTACATCAGCTTCGGCCAAATGAGCTCAGCTTTTAAAGTTTGATCAGAATTACTTATCTTGCTGTACTGATTTCACTTTTATATAAAAGTGCTTTAATACAGCAAAAGAGCAGCCTGAGGCTTATCATCACAAAGAAGAGATCATGTGCCACTTCACAGCACTTACATAAAGAGCAGAGAAAACAGGTTTCTCTCCCTGGAGGACCTTTCACAAAATGGGAGATCCGTTTTATAGCTGTACCTCAGGAGGTGAATGTTGTCTCCTGATTGCGACAGAGGGTGGTATACAGTATACAGTAACATGAAGCAGCTATTTATACAGCCTGAACTGTTTAGGTTGTCAAGCTAATCACAGAACTCCATTCAAAGTTTTCTTCTGCCCTACCAACAAGGAGCATTGTTCTCAAAATACATTTAATAAAAAAATGAATTCACAGAATGAAGCCTGATGCATTAAAAGGCCTTCAGGGAAAAAAACTCATTTATTAAAGTCGATTCCTGTGTGTAGTTTTTTTTCCTGTAGAACCAATCTCGTGTTACTCAGCTATGCCATGTATCCCTGAAGGCAACCTGTCTTTGACATAAGATAGCCTTTGGGATGAGTGTTAGCTTTTTAGTAAGAAAACAAATTGTTGGCCTTTGGGAGAAAAATATAATTATATAACTACGACTACGTTCCATCAGGGGTATTAGAAGAGGGAAATATTCTACTTTTTAACCTTTTTCTATTTTTTGATGTTATCAAACACAAGAAACAATTTAAAATTACAGGAGTATTTAAGATTGTTTTACTCAAATATGTCAAAACAAAAGGCTTGTGTTAGAAACACAACAAAAACATTCTCATTCATAAGTTAAAATCTGCACTGTCAGAAACTAAACTGTATAGAAAATATTTAGCTTCTTTTCACCAAGAAAATATTCAAGTGTCTTTAAACTTGTAAAATCAAAAGTGTAACTGCTGTTCTGATGCATGACATCACAAATATAAACAATGTTAAAAATAATCTAATATTTTTCTTTAAGAAAAAATACAATCAGATCCCAACTATTGTATATGAACAGAATGACATTTAAAACTTTGGATTAAACTGGGCATCGAGCCACAGTTTCTAAATTTCTCAAATGGAAATATTATGTACATTAAGAGTAATGTTTCCATAGACATTCTCTATTTGTTAACTAAATCCTTATTTTTTTAAGTGTAACCCCTTTATCACAACAGCACTCTGCAAAATGCACAATACTGCACTGTGGTATGAAGAAACTAAACACTAGCAATTGCTAAGTACAGATTATAGTACAGGAAACTACATATAGTGTGTACCAAGTGTCTAATGCTGCATTCTTTCTGTTTTCTGATTGATTTTAAAAGTAGAATAAATCTCAAAATTGTAATACTTGTAAGCAATATATTCTCATGTCTAAAAGCCAACTGGACTTTGGCAAGGAAGCAAAAATAAATGCTGACTGCAAGCACAGTTGCAGCCAAAGCAGGACTCTGACCTCCTATTGTCAGAACTCCTCATCTAAATCGATGATAATCACATTCCGTCTTCCATTTGGTAATCACAACTTGATGCAGACAAGAGATCCTCCACAAACAATGTTTTGTCATATCGAAGATTTTGTTTAAAAGAAATTAAGCAGAAAGGGCATCTCATTACATTAAGTCTATGAAACCAAAGTTTGAAATAAAGGCGTCCTATAGAGATAGCACTCTAACAATTCTAAAGGGAAAATCAGACCTTTTCAAGGACATCTTCACAAATACCATCATCTAATCCTGTATAACCATTACCATTCATCATGTGTGGATGTGTTTTTCCCAAGCATTTAATTGACATTACAAGGTAACATACTGCATATACTGTACAATCCTGTGAACAGCTCCCCAGATTTGGTTACTACGAACCTACTACAGACAATTAGTGGTTACCCAGGGCTAATGCAGAGAATGACAAACCAATAAAGTAAGAATAAGCATGTATTGCAATTTTGGTATGACGTGTCTGCTCTGCATGTGAGCACACTTTATAGTTTCCAGTTATTTTCTGCTGACATAATAAGATCTAACTGATGCATCCTGTTAATACTCCAATATAAATGTTTTACTCCTTACACTTACACTAAAGTCCTAATGAAAACTGTTAATTAAATGATGAAAAGCACTTATAGTTATGGTTGACCATAGTGATGGGTACTTCTTCATGCTGCAGGTAACCACTTATATATTAACATGGTTCTCATCCTAGTGTATTAAATTAAACCTGATAAGTCACTCTGTAGAAATTCTATTAAGAAATTAATTGGTTCTGTTTCTCAAACTTTATGTCTAACCAATGTAATTTAATCTTGGCTTAATAGCTTTAACTTCATCAGTTTCTTCAAAAATTAAATTGCCAATGATTTTGTTCCCCAAAATTGAATATTCCTGGTTTGTATAGACATAAAAAACAGCTGTGTTGCTGTTCTGGGATCCCCAGCATGATCTGGTTAAAGAAGGTTTAATGACATGTCTTAACCAGGTCAGTGGTTGGGTAGGAGACTCCCAAAGAACAATTTCTCTACTAATACTCTAGTATGGTGACAGGACACACTAAACTGTAGGAAGTGCAATTTGCTGGACCAGACATTAAACTGAAGCACTGACTATTCCATCATTGAAGACCATCTTGTCTGACTGCTTCTACAAGTATTTAAGGACTCTCAAGCCACAATTATCCTTAAACTAGGTTCACACTTTCACCCATCTTTCAAAGATCTACTAATGTCTAAATCTCTTAGGTCATTTACAGAACTAAGCTTTCTACACTTCCACTGTCTCCCATATTTCCATCGCTTTAGATGGAAATATTCCCCATCTCATTTTCACAATGGCGTTTTTAATGAGCTTCTTACCCTCAGATTCTGGAGGTCTCCCTCACTTACAGTACCTACACACCTATAGATGATACACAGCAGAAACACTTTGTCTTCCTTCTTCTGACTTTTCAGTGTCAGAATTAATCCCTGTTTCTATTCTTGCATTCTTAGTTTGTGTTCTTAGAAGTATGATACGTGTTCATAAATGAAATATTTTACGTGGTAGAACGACTATGTACAGTATTGCTGGCTACATTAAATTCCACTGTACTCAGTTTGTTTCAGTCCAATGTCTAGGAATTTCTAAGGCAAAATTAAATCTGACAATTATCAGCTGTTAACAAGAGCCTTTGCTATTGACTCAAAGGTCAGTGACCTGTGACTTCAAGAATATTGAGCCACATACCATATAAAACAATGATGAATTGAAAAATCTTTAACACTTTTCTTTGAAACATGTCACTAAGATTTCACATAAACAATAAACATTACACATGCATATTAAAAGTAAAGACTTTCATAGACAAGTCTGAATATAATGCTTCTTACATGAAAGAAGAGCTTAAGAAAAAAGGGAATTGGGCCACAAAATACTGGGCGATTTGTGCTCTACTTCACACTTATCACCCACTATTACTAAAGACTATGGGTCTGTGTTTTTTATAGTATTGACGTCTGCTTTCATGTCAGAAAACAGATATTGCCTCTGGTTTTATGTGCTTTCTATTTGGTCTTGCTTTGAGAACGAATGGAAGGGGGGCATCGGAGAATAAGAATTAATCCATAAAGGATTTATACTTTATACACTAAAATCTAATTCCAGGGAAGGATGTGTAGGCACTATCAGGGATTTGTCACTGTTTTACAATGCAGATAAGTAGGAACAAAATAAACCAACACAGAAATGAATAGATATGCTAACTCAGCATCTACATAACAATACATTATTTTACTATATTCAAGAAAATCACATATCAGTGACTTGGTAGCAGAAAGTTAAAAAAAAACCCGATAATTTCTAGACAGTAGGTCTCCCTCCTGGAAATACATTAAAGACCTGTCAATACTGTATATGGTCTTTGAATCCAGCCTTATTACATCATCTGTGGAGAACACCTGGTTCAAATCTCATTTGACAACTTGACACATAATATTGGCACTCTAAAATAATTTAGTCAGGTATTGTTTTACATAGAACATAGAGAAAATGAACTTCAAACTTATTATTAACATAATTCATTTTGGACAAATAAAAAAAAAGTTTGAATTTAATATGTCATCAATGTTACCAGAAGAAAGTGCAGTTTGATATTCATAACCTGAAATAACCTGAAGTATAAAAAATCTGGTTGATAGAGATGGTGGTAATCTTAAACTGGTCAGCAGATGCAGACAAATATTGAGACTGCAAATAAAAAAGATCATTTATTGATATTTCTGGCTGTATGCCATCTGGTTTTAGGACCAACTGCCAGGCCACATGGACAAGGAATCTGTAACGTCACTACAATAAATCAAAGGGTTTCTGCATTGGCAGTGGCAATGGCAAAGGAGGAAGGGTGTCAGCATGACAAAAGCTGAAAAATGGTCTAAAAGACAGTATTTATACTCTTGAGAGACAGTAATTGAGATTTGACCTTCTCTGAAGTTTCGTTATGAACTCAGATTAAAACATTTGCCTGCAGGAATACTTTTGAGGGTCTGAACAAATTTTATGACATAGATGCAGAAAAATACATTTGACTGTCCAAAAAGCTAATGCTATTGTAGTACATTAATATAAAACAAAATTGGTCAACATTTCATTTTTGCACACAAAAGCTATGTATCTACTTCCCACACCCCCTCCACTTCTGTATAAAGCTACAATCCTGCACAGGTACAGTACTCAAGGAACAGCACCAGTAAAAAAGTAAAAAAAAAACGATCCTACTGCAGACATTTCAGGAGAGAGCAACATGAAACACATAATTCAGAATTATCACAAAATTAAAAAAAAATAATGCCTGCTGGAAGGAAGGCAAAAGTGTACAAAACTAATTGATCAACAGATCTAAATTATTTTTTCTTATTTCATTTTCAAAATATATTCTATACAGTACATATATTCTTATTCATCCCTGTATCATGCAGTTAAGACCAATGCACGAAAACAGATCAAGCATCTGTTTGCTTTCGTTCAAAACACAGTACAACACAAGCCCCTTTGCTTGTGCGTATTCATTGAACTCCATATTCGCCATGTGAGCATAGACAGTACCTGTTGAAATTGATTTCTGGGTAATTTGAATACTCAGATTTCTTGGAGTTGCGACGAGGGAATGTGCAGAAGAAGGCATTGGCCAGGAGGCAGGCTATTTGTTCTTGTGACATTGTGATGGAGTGATTCATCTTCTGCTTAAGCAGTGGTATCGGCTGCAAGGGCAAAAAAAAAGGAAGGCAGAGATAATTGGTTTAGCAATTTACCAAACAAGGAAGCAAAATTGCATTTAGCAAATTACAGGGAGTAATTTAGGACCACTACTGGATTCTTAAATCAGCCAGCACCATTAAAGCCAAGGGCCATTTATCTCTGCTGATTGGAGTAAAGGACCTTGTTTAAGGGATTGCAGATTACTAATCAATAAAAAAAGAAAAACAGGCAAAACTGTATTAGGCAGCAGCTCTAAATACTTTTGTGCTACTTTACTGATTCTCTATCAGAAAGATGTAAGTTTTCATTTACTGGAAGTGCTGCTGATTCTGTTAGAAAACTGATGCACATAAAATTTACTACTTCCGAGACAACGTCTGCAGCAAAGATTTGTGGTTGGTAGCTACTCTGGGACTTTTGAAAATGCATATTAAATATACAGCTACACTACTTGGAAGTATATGGTGGGGAGTTTATTTTGACAGTTTTTGATTAATGAGGATGTGAAGCCTGTTTTTTTATTATCAGATTTGAAATAAAAGCATTTCTCCTTACTGGGGTAGTCCTTCAACAAGTCTATGATGAATACCGCTGATTATCACAAAAGCCTAAATAAAAAACACTGGTCTTCAGTTTACTGTTACTGTTCCTAACAAACAGTAGACAAACTGCCAGTGGAAAGATCTTAAAGAATTGCATGAATCTTTCTGAATAGTAGGAAACGGAAAAAGACATTCTGCAAAATAAAAATTAGATAACTTTAATAAATTAATTTTGAGTGGTTCTTCATATCTATAAAGCTATTAATTACACACAAATGACTCTGGAAGGTCGATAGCACTGGTCATTTCTATACATAAATCAGATGGCTGCTTTACAATTTGATGAAGCCCAGAAAACGGAAGTGAGAGGAACACAGTTTCACATTCAACACATCATTAATCTCTGCTTCTGCTCCTCAGAAGCAGGCAATAAGACTCAAATGAGCCCCAAAGAAGAGAGGTGGCATTTCTATTGATCTCAGTGCAGCTGCTCAATTTTCTGTCTTATTATACCAACACTAGCCCTACTCAGAGGCTACAGTGTTCTCATTGTCAAATGCCTCAATGTGGCTTCAATTGTAGAATAGGGCTGCTGTTACCACATATCCAATACAGAGTACTGGACACAAAATGCCATTCCAATGAATAAGGCCTTGTTCATAAGGATTTTATCTGATATTCACATGACCTTATTCTTCTGATAAAATGAGGACCCTGACATTTGACAAGAAATGAATACAGTTCATTAGTGGGTTTTATGTATGTGCTATTGCTTTCTTTTATAAAATCTCAAAATGCCAATATGATTACTTCTATCATTTTCTGGGTTGTATCATATAGGCAATGGGGATAAATAATTAATAAAGATAAATTTTAATTATAAAACAAATCACACCCTAATTTTGTTGAAATCAAAATCCATTTGCCAAAAGCAAACAGCCATAGTATTGGAGGATATTTAAAGTTAAGTGTACCTACATTTTACTTACATTTATTGATAAAATAAATAAAATAATTAATGATACAGTTTAAATTAAACTGATAATAATAAAATGTATTATCTGTTCCTGTATATCACCTGAACTGTATTAACTATTTGTTAAATTGTTAACATTATACAGATTTAACACCTAACATGTAACAAAGCCCACTTTGACCAACTTCATGTCCTTAGAAAACATATTCATTGCACGCTGAATCATAAATGTCATGTAGGTTTTGCAAAATAAACTATTAGTCTACAATTGTTTTTGATATATCTTTACAGTGAATTTTCTGTTAGTCTGGCTTCTAATCCCTTCCATGTAAATAGGTGGTAATGTGCATTTTCCCCTCATTGTTTTGCAATTAGCTGGACTGTGTGAAATTTAGAATTACATGAATATCATACAAACAATGAAGTACATTTCAAATACACTTTGCACAAAATCCCTTTAATGTTTCCTGTCAGTAATCCGTAAAGGTCAGAAAAGAAAACAGGAAAAGATACAGGAGGTAGAAGGGGCAGATCTTCAACAGAGGTGAGTCACTCACACAAGAGCTTTTAGTTATTCAATCACTTCTTATCACGAGGTCAATCAATATACTAACAGAAATGACTATCAAGGTAACTGAAAATTACCACAATAGTTTGTTTCTGAAGAGAAAAGAAAGATTCTGTTTAGTGTAAAAGAAAATAGTTTTATGGGAAATTGGAGTAACACAATTACTTGAGCTTTAGAGAGTACCATGCCTTGTCTTATTTCATCAACTAGATATAACAATTTGCACATCTGACAGTTGAACTCAGATTTCTTTGCATGCAGTATTTCTCTGTAATACATTGGTGCTATGGTAATCTAATAATTCCCATTCACAAAACAAATGATCAAAAGATAAACATTCTGCAATACTAAATACTTAATTCTGTAGAATATGAGTGGCATCATCTACATTTTTATGAACACAGGAATGCAAGCCTACCAACATACTTCACATTAAAGAAGTCATTGCATTCTTGTTTATAGAATAACTGACTGCTTTTTTTGTTTTTTCAGAAAAACAGGTACAAGAATTTTAAAGGACATCCCCACAGATATTCTGGATTTTCCAGTACTTAGATTTATACAGTAGCAAACAAATTAATGTAACATTCAGCATTTCTTGTATTATCCACCTTTATCACTTGTTAAGAAATTTAGAAAGAGAACAAAAATTCAGAAATAAATTTCATTCATACTTTCATACTTTTATATAGTGAGCATCAAAGAAACTTCACTTCATCAAATCAAAACATCACGTCAACAGATTCGCAAAGTTATCATCAGGGAAATGACAATCTTTCTTGTAACAGGTGACCAGACATTTTTATTGAACAGATGTGACTGGTGCAACACTGCTCTGTCCCTGCTGGCATTTGATTAAGGAGTTAGAGCACACAGAGCAGAGACCTCCACCATGCCAAAGGGCCATGACTTTTGCAGAGGGATAATTCCACGTTTTCTAGGTTTCAGTGGGATCATGTCACTTCTTTAACACGCTTACTACCATTGAGTTCTATTACATTGACATGACCCATTATACAAACTCATTATACAGATTAACATCACCAACAGGAGGGATGCTATGAAAGTCAGAGGCTAATAGTGCATCTGACCAATAAACGAAAGCAATACTTGCTACACATCTGTGACACGTGATCTGCATCAAGTTGCAGATGCTGCCTTGTGGAATTCTATCCAATTCCTCTTGCAGATTCTGGACAAGCAAGTGCACTGGTCTCTGAGCCCTAGATGTCATACACTGTCCAAGAATATTCTACAAAATATAATGAGGCTCAAGCCTAACAATTAGGGTAATCATGCATAACTTCCATCATAACCATTATCACTAATAAGACGTGTCTCCACCTGAAGGGATTTAATCCAGCCACGACAGTTCAGAAGTGTTGTTCTCCTGACAAATTGGGTATATCTGTTCCTTTCCACATTTGTCTTTCATGACTTCCATCAGATTAGGCCAAGTCACCTCATCATCAGTGCTCAACCAACTTACTCACTGCAGAGATTTATTAGTGGTTATGCAACAGTCAAGGTTACAAAGTGTGCACAGTAGTCATTATCAATTAATCAACCCTAATGGCAAAAACATTGAAGCAATATCCTAACTCCATGTTCTCCATTATTTTAAAACATACAGTTCATGCACAGAGCAATATATTTATTCTGATGCTCTGCATATATGTTTTGAGTTTATGTATAGTTCTATTTAGTTTAGGAAAGAGGCTTAGCATAGTTGGCAAGATTTTAGGATCATAATTGGATGGTCATGGGTTCAAGTCTCCACTGCAAACACTGCTGCTCCAATACCATCAGCTGTACTGTATAAGTGGGGACCAGTATTGCTGGGGGATAATTCCTGCTCTGTACTGGCATCCCACCCATGCGGTTTTACACTACAAAAAACCGCGATGAGCTCTGGCCTGATGAGCCATAAACCAAAACTGTATTCTTTCCCCCTCGATTTCACAAGAGCCGAAATTCTCAAATGTCAGAAATAAGATTTGAAACCTGTGTGTTCACACATTATACATAAATTGCAATAGCTATAAATATATTTTGATATAACCATTTATTCTTGAAGCAAGCAATAAAACAATTCGACAAAAAACTGCATCATTATCCGTGTAAATAACTGTGTAAATAGCTGGTCAAAACTCTTTTTGTGTTCCACTCTAGGGAGAACGTGTAAAATCCATAGAAGTGTAAAGCAATTGTCAGCTTTCTTGCTTTTTACCTTCAATCAGTCATGAACGTATTTGTTTCTTCTAATGTGTCTTTTCCTATTACAGATGTGCACTGTCCTTCATCACCCATTGGCCTTAATTTAAAATGACTGAACGGCCACAGCCTTTAATAAGAAACATAGCCCTGCCTGGCACCTTGACCTCATTCATTTCTCAGGATCCCCCTTTACATTGGCCAGTGTGTGAAGAATGATGCTCCCTGCTTCAGATCTCAAGTATACTTCACAGACTTACCTGGGTACACAGCTTTGGCAGTTTTAAAGCCAATTGCCCCATGCCAGGCAGAACATTGAAAAAGAGATGTTTAGCTTCATCACAATTCATGTTCTGAAAACAAAACAGAAAGAAAAATGTAATTTTATAAGTTATTTTTTATCAGTTTGGAACCGTAACACAAATAGTGCATTACACAAAATATATCATCTTACAAATGTCTCAAAGCTCAGCTGTGTGTAATCTTAACTACCCTTCTTACATTGCTGACATTCATTGCAGCAGATGAGGACTCAGGTGTGTTACTGGTAGCTGGCTGAATACAAATATGTTTGACAAATGGACATACAAGTCCATCCAGTTATCAGTCTACAATATATTTTTACCAACACTTTGTCTTTACAGCAATTTTTAGTCCAGTTTGTAATCACATCCATGGAGCAGGAAAAAATGTGAATTTTACTTTTTGCAGTTCTATTTATCGGGTTGCATAAGGACAGAAGACAATTAGAATTGTGTTAATGTCATACAAACAATGCACCGCATTTCATTAATACATTGCATGAAATCACTTCACTGTTTGCTTACAATGGTCTGGAAAGGTCAGAAAAAAACGAGGCAGAAGACGTAGAAGTTAAACAGAGACAAGTCACTCACAGTTAAGTTTGGTTTATGCCACTCAATCGCTTATTATGATGAGGTCTATCACTTTATTCACACCATTCCTATTTGTAGCATCTAAACATTAGCAATATTAAAAAATATTACAAGTCTTTGTTAAACAGGAACCTCTAACATTTCAATTTGATAGGTGGACCAATTAAATAATGAATGGTCAATTACAAAATTCAAGCTGGTCTTGATATGAAAAAGAAAGGAAAAGCTAAGATTCGACTCTCCTACATTAGATGTTAGTCAGGAATACTGTAGAATAGATGCAATGTCACCTTTAGATATCTCATTAGATGTACACATTCAGAACAGAAATAAGAAGTAAAAAAACAGAATATAAACATTCTTCCCAGAGTTGTGGGTGCAGGGTGCTGACTATAAACATTACCTTACAATTTAATCACTGTGTTAAACTCTGTATTACAATACATTTATTTCATACTCAGACTAGCACATTAAACCGCTCTCTAAGAATGGAAAACAGCTCAGAAAACTACCAGTACATCATAAAGTCGGAAATTGCAAGCACAGAATACTGTTAAATGAGACATTTGAACCCAGCTGTCTACTTGTCAGCCTGGATAATTTTCTTATTCGACTGTCACTGGATATGACTCATGAATACTTGCCAAGTTGTCTGCAGCATGACAGAAGGTGAACAATATCACTTACATATTGACACAATATAGCTCTTGGCTCATTCAAGACATCAGCTGCATGTTGTTTTATTAGCATTTCTCTTTTTAAAAGAATTTGTTGAGACACATTCTATTAAAACAGAACTAAATTTATTAAAACAATTTTGTCCTCCATTATTTTTGGTCTAAAAGCTGCTACAGTACACTTTCTAGAAGCACGCTTACACCTGACTGTGCTACAATAAATCATAGAGAATTGAAAAACGTCAGCTTTACACTGTATAACTACTTATGTATTTCAGAATTTGATCAATCAATCATTGAATTAAATGATTAATTTAAATCAAGAAAAGTGGAAAAAAGCAGAGTCATTTCCTTGGATCATTCAAACTGGGTGAGATCCTCCTTAAGTTACTGAGAATAAAAAGTATGCAGTATGTATGGTCTCACGTTCCAGCTTCAATGTTTGGCTTCTGATATATTTTGGAACAATTCCCTTGCTTTTTTTCTTTCAAAACACACTTAAAAGGGAGGTCAAATGAGGATAAGGACAAGTGGAAAGTGAAATACTCAAAATCCAAGGGAATTAACTGCAACCACAGAACAAAGCTTAAGAATTAAAGTGAGCACAGCTCAGCAGAGGCACCATGAGACTTCAGTCACCACTGCAGCACAAGCTCATGAACCACAAGTCGTTGAACCCTTCTAGATGTTAGGGTTGGTAGTGGTGAACCAGAACATCTCACACTCAGTTTCATTATGAGCTCACAGAGGCTTCTGAAGGACTGGTATACTCCAGAGAGGTAAAAACTAGAAATAAAGATATTATGAACAGGTTAATCTAGTGCATGCTATTGAACAGAAATAAAACTCCCACAACATTTCCAGCCACAGATGGTTTCTATGACGCACAAGGGAATAGAATGCGGACACTTGGGACTGTTAACATGATGAGCAGGCGGAGGGGAGCCCAAGATTTCTTGCTGTTCAGAGGTTTATTGCTGAATTTATTGAATGACCTAGTGAGCAGCAATAGAAGAGTACATAGCACACAAAATATCCTGTTTTATGTTGGCTACACAGGTTCCTGCCAAGCAGCTTCATTTTGGTGCTCTCAGTCAACACCAGCGGAGCACCATCAGTAGCTTCAGACTGCAAACAGAAAATATTTTTGTGTTCATTTTCATATATATATATATTCACATATAATCCTCCAGCGGTTTAAAGGCAGAACAATAAAAAGGAAAATTAAAATGCGTTATAAAGCATGAACACTAAGCTGAGACTTCCTGCAAACCACCGAACTGAATACTACAATTATCCTCATACTAGAGAATACGGAATCCAGAATTCGTATAATACACACCAACCACCCATGACTTAAAATATACGTGCTGTTATTTTATCATAGCGGAGATTTACTACATACTTATTTATAGCGATATTGGCTTCAAAATGTCAGGATGATCAATCACGGGGCAATTTCATCAAGGTTGTTGGGCATGTTGGTTGATTAAATGGATTCCTGGAACAGATGCAAATGCCCAAGTGTGAGCTACAGGACAGTGTGTTCCTGGACAAGAAGCCTTGACTGGCAATTTAGCAAAGAACATTTATATTGCAGCAAAGGAGGCTTGACTAAACACTGTCATAAGTAATGACCTGCTTGACATCATAAACGGTTCCTTGGGGCATAATGAATGAAAGCAGTTGACAGCCAGGATGGGATATAGCTGAGGTAGCAAGGCCTGGCGTTTTTAAATCAAACTTCGACAGCGCATCAAATCAACTAAACTAACACTCAGCGTATGACTTGAAACAGGTCTATACATCACATCAAACTGACAAAGCAATCAAGTAAAAGAGGCAGCCTGCATTTGAGCAAAGTTCAGATTTACCTCCGCATTTTTCCCATTTTCATTCTTCTCCACCCCCAATAAACCATGCAAGGTTGATTGACTATTGGAATATGACTGTGTAAATGAAACAGATGTGAGTTCATATCCCTAAATCAGAAGAAAACAATCTTACCATGTCAGTCACCAATTTTATTTTCTAGGCATGCATTTTAAAAATATTTAATCAGAACTTTCCTCTGTCCAACCATTTCTCCCCACCCACTAATTCTAATCTGACATCCTTCAATTCGCCGCTCACCTGATCAAGTACCATGGTCATGAACAGATGTGCCAAGGCATCAGACATGACTTATAGAAGCATTTTTCTCGTACAAAGGAAACTCATCTCCTAATACAATACAGATGGCAACATGTCACGTTGTTTTTCAAACATGCTGTCTGATCGGTTTCTCAGTACATTTGAAAATTCCACGTGTAATGAAAGAAACATACAAGCAAAGGCACACAAAACACTAAGATTTAGTGAAGGACAAAACTATTAATCACCCTTTGTACAAAGGTGGAAAATACATAGTTAATATACTTGAATGAGCCAAATCTATATTCCTCTCTTTCCCTTGTCCCCGTGATTGCATAGTGTCCTTACTGGCTTTGACTTAGATGCAGGTGATACAAATGGCGATCAGTAAACAGTTAAATATTTTTAGTGTCTGCTCAAGAAAATTTAAAATTAGAATGTAATGACTGGGTGCATGATATACTGTAAATTCTAATCAAAAGCTACATACAGCATACAATGTTCTCACTCTATGTTCAGAATATACAATATACACATTAAGGCCATTTAAATAGTTCATTTGTCACCATATTACACGTACTGATAATGTTGTCTAGCAGAGCACCAGAGAATGAGGATAAGCCAACTCAATTTTTTTTTACTGATACAGCTATCAGATGTCTCAATAAATCCAACCCTACAAGAAAAAGAACATACTGTAAATTGTGTGAAGCTCATTTTTGTCACTGATTCGTATTGTTAAATGCACTGCACATACAGTAGTCAACAACCTTTCTGTTATACAGTACAGTAACAGAAGACTTTTTAGCATGGCTCATCATTCCAACAGTGACAGAAGACAGGTCAAATGTTGGTGGCAGTGTTGTTATTTTTTCCTTTTCTGACATTTTCATCAGTATAAGATAGTTTATATGAGCGGGTAATAGTTTATATGAGCGGGTAATAGCTTATATGAGCGGTTAACAAAAAGCTTAAGTGTACACCTCACTTGACTTTCCCATTTGGCAGCATGTAATTTTATTACACAATACAGCATGTGTGATACCTCATCAATTTTGAAAAATTAGTCATGCTTATTAGTACTTAAATTTTAAAAAGGTTATTTGAACAAACTTCAATCTGACCTGGTTCTGTCAGGATGTTCCTTGTACTGGGCAATATCTTCATTAAGAAAGGAATAATACTTGGAAACAAATGCAGAGAAATGACAGCTGAACAAAATAGAAGACCACATCAGTGATCAAAGTTAATTAATGGAACCAAAAAAACAAAAAACACAGTAAATATCAAAAAGAAGATATTGTGCTGAAATTGTGTTGAGTGACTTAACCTATTTTACCCAAAAATTGGAGTTCAGTGTTCCTTCTGCAATTCTGTGACAGTCTCGGCTAGGTCAGGCCACAGCAGGTCACCTCAGTGACTTTTTGCCAGTGATTACGGCACTATGAATTTCTGGAGAAGTAAGGCACGATTCATATTTCTAAACCCACTCCCTTGACAGCTTCCCAGTAGGTGGTTTTGCTTGTGAGGCAGAGGTGTTGGTACGTGTTTGAAAATAAACTGCACTCCCCACCTCCTTTACTTACTCCTACTGCTATGAACTGCACAGCGCTAACTTGATTGGAATTGTCCGCTGCTGTCAAGCCC